TGGTGGGAAGGAGGAGTGAGGGGAGAGTGGGGTGGGGTGGCATTTAAAGGCAAGTGGCCATTGAATATCTGAAACAGGAAAGACTGAAGTACGAGTTCAACAAGTTCAACTACTATTAAACATCAGAGACGTGGGGGTAGGGGGGGAGGTGTTACAAGTGCTCTACTGAAAGAAAAAGAAGCTAACATTAGTGTTTACCTTTTATTTAATGTCAGAAATCCACTTAGAAAGCAAAATCCTGAAAAGTCAGGCTTTATGCTTCTCCAGCTTGTTGCTTCTTTTTGAGGTGCTAAGAGCTTCCTTGTCTGCCTTTATGCAAGAATTAGCAACAGCTTAGAAAAATATTTGATGGTAATTTTTCTTTCTGGTAGGCATGTGCTGTGTTCAGGAATAAGGGACTCATAATATGAAGCTCCAGAGCAGTTGGCATTTTCTCTCTGTCTTCACTGACATTGAGAGAAGTGTGCTATTGTGGATACTGGTGAGAAAGTGATTGGATTGTCGGCTTTGTTTTCTTGCTGCAGCTCTTACTTTCAGGAATTTGAATTTTGTCATAAGGCCTTAATTTTCATGAATGCTCCCAGCATTAACTCTATTGTTTACAGGACCTGTCAGCAAGCTTCAGCAGCGTGGGAGCGGTGCTGATTCCATGAGGTGTGGCTACAAAAACCCACTCAACCATTTTAGTTTTGCATAGACAAAGACTATCTCCAGTTTTGTTTTCCAGGATGTGTGCTGATGAGTTAAGGAGAGGTGATGATTATCTGTTGATGGAGTCTAATAAAATACATTCCAGTTAATATGGCAGCAGTCAGGCTGTGGTGCTTGAAGAAGTGGGAGTAAAGCGATAACTGCTCTCTGAAGCTGTGAAACCTGGGCCAACCTAGAGTCACTTCTGGGTCCATATACTGCTGTGAATTTCTGTAACCTTGACAATTAGCATGTTTTTAAATGTGTTGCTGTTGGTGTTATTTAGCTTTTTATGTAGGTTACCAGTACCCAAACATTTTTAACTTCAATTGTTACAGGAAATTCAGAATTAAAGGCACAAGTATCTGAGTGAATGTTGCAGTGTAATTTAATGTGGAATAAAGTGCAAAAAAAGTGGTTGAACGAGTTATAGTAGCTGATTAATGCTAGAACAGGCAGATGTTACTCTTCTTCCCTATTACTGCTCATGTTTGATGTCCTGCCCTCTGCATCAGCTTGGTTCTTATGCCATACCCCCTGCTGCTGTGTAGTCGGAAGTCAGCTCACTGATAAGCAGAAAGCTCTCTGGTTTTGAGGTTTTGTGTGTGCTGTGGAGTAGTGGTGTTTGTTTTGTTCCCTCCAGGCCTGGTTTATTTTTCTGTCAGGTTTGAGTTGAGTTGGCTTTCTAGAGCAGTCCAGTGAGTCCCAGAAACAGCTCAAAGTAGGCAGCAGGAGCTCAGACCGCAGAATGGAGACAGAGGGAGAGTGGAGTGCACTGTTGCCCTTTGATTAGTGATAAATTATTAGATTGGTTCAAGCTGCCTTGTGCAACTTCACCCTACCTAAACCCAAGGAAGCTGAACAAGACTTTGAGAAATTCCTGGATTTTGAGTGGGTTTTGATGTAGATTTGTACTGAATATTTATCTTCCTCAACTTTAGCAGGGGAGGGTCGTGCTTGTCTTTAATTTCGTTTTGGCTTATTTACAGTTTGACTTTAGTTTGCATGTAAGTAACACTGCATCTGCAAATGTTCAAATGCTTAATAAGTCATTAAGCGTCACTAAACCCAGTATACAGAATATAATTTTTTGTGACCTAATCTTGTCTGTGTTTCCTATTGCCATAGTATTTTGCACTTTATGAATCTCATCACCTAATTAATCCCTCTAGTAAGAAATGGGGGGGGTGGGGGGAGCACTATGTTGTTACAGTAGTGAAATAAACAAACCTAAATAGTGTCACTGAAAATGTTCAGTTTTCTAGAAATAACTTTTGAGTAAATTTACATAGATTTTTAAAGAGACTAATTTTTTTTTTAGGTTATACTTTGTACAGATCTACGGGAGCTTGTTTCTGAAGGAAGTTCTGCTTCCTTTCTGAAACCTTTGATATTCAGAGTGGGTGTTTTTATTGCTCCCCTGAGACAAATTCTTTAGAAGGATTGAAAGGGGGAGAGGGAAAAAAAAACATGACAACCTTTTTAGTATTGCATATTCATTATCTGACCACTTCAGTAGCTTGGAATGAGGAATCACTCTTGCAGTATCGCATAGTTGTTCTTTTTCGTTACCCTTTCTTTAAAATGAGAATATATGAGGGGAGAAATATTTAAAGTTTGTGTTCTAAGTTGTTTGTTAAGTTGATTTTTCAACTGAAGAGAAAGGAAAAAGGATGGTGAAGATTTATAGGTCTTAATGCAAGCAATCTGAATTAGGATTTATCTGGTCAGGAAGGACTTGTGATATGTTATTAGAAATAAAAAATTGTTTTTATTTTTATTTATTTATTTTTTCTTCCCCCTAGGTGATTCATGGCAGGGGACGTGGAAGGGTTTAGCTCCTCCATCCATGACACCAGTGTCTCTGCTGGATTCAGAGCACTGTATGAGGAGGGATTGCTTCTTGATGTCACACTTGTCATTGAAGACCACCAATTTCAGGCCCATAAAGCACTGCTTGCCACCCAGAGTGATTACTTCAGGATTATGTTCACAGCTGATATGCGAGAACGAGATCAGGACAAAATCCATTTGAAAGGTCTGACAGCTACAGGCTTCAGCCATGTCCTCCAATTCATGTACTATGGAACTATTGAACTGAGTATGAACACTGTTCATGAAATCCTTCAGGCTGCCATGTATGTCCAGCTTATAGAGGTGGTAAAATTTTGCTGCTCTTTTCTCTTAGCTAAAATATGCTTAGAAAACTGTGCAGAGATTATGAGACTTCTGGATGATTTTGGTGTAAACATCGAAGGAGTCAGGGAAAAATTGGACTCCTTTCTGCTAGAGAATTTTGTGCCACTCATGTCCAGACCTGACTTCCTTTCATATCTGAGCTTTGAGAAGCTCATGTCTTACTTGGATAATGATCATCTGAGCAGGTTTCCAGAGATAGAGCTGTATGAAGCTGTTCAGGCCTGGCTGCGCCATGATAGAAGACGCTGGAGGCATACGGACACCATCATTCAGAACATCAGGTTTTGTTTGATGACACCATCCAGTGTTTTTGAGAAGGTTGGTGCATTTGAAAAGCAATAGACAGGATTCACCATTTAGCTAGGGCAGCATGACATTAAATAGGTAAGATTCCCAAACCTATTAGGAGGAACAAAAAGATAGTCTTTCTTTACCTAATAAACCTGTAGAAGACAAACATCTGAAAGTATTGTAATCTAATTATTAGACAATAGTATGTACAGTTGCTGGAGAACAGGTAGGTTTACAATACATGTTTTTAGGTGACTTAATATGGAGAGGCCATTTTAAAAGAAGGTCACTTGTATGAAGTTTTATTGCAGTTGTTCTTACTGTTTTACACAAGTTGCTTCTTGCTTTCCAGAGATTTTAGAGCTGCATACAGTACATAGGGCATATGTCATGATAATTTTTATCAGTATAATCAAAACATAGTGACTGTAGTTTTTATGTGGTTTAAGTACAGATTTTTTTATTTACAAATGAAAACTAGCATCTGCTGTTAAATCTGCAGGGTGTTTTTGTTGTCTCTTCAGTGCTTGTGCTGTTACACAGCAGTTGGAAGTAAGCCCTGATCCTGCAAAGTTACATGTTCATTTGGTTCTACACAAGGCACATAATACAATCAGAAGTTATTGATGGTGTGAAATGTAATTATACACTTCAAATATCAGAGGAATCTCTGTAACAAGTGATCTAAAATTCAACTGACCATTTTATATGTATTAAGAGGTTAAAAGAGAACTCACTTTTTCTACTGTTCTGTTGGCAAATAGACAAAAAATGTTGTTGTCTTCTTCCTGAGAATGTCTGAGTGTTTGTCAACAGTAGAGAATTACAAAACTTTGTAAGCAGCTCTCTTGCAGGCCAGTAACAGTAAGGCTATTCAGGTTAGGAATTACTTAAACTATGCCGTTTTGTTTTAACAGTGTTAATTTTGTGTCATAAGATACAACTTTAACTTGTGTATTTTTCACATCTCAGTGAATTAATAGGATTTAAGACCCTGTGTTTTTGTTGGGCTTCTTACAAATTCATTTTCTATATATTTTTACTTTGGTATCTAGTGAATATAAAGGTACGGTTGTATTGTTCTTGGTGGTTTTAAGGGCTACTGGATAATTTAAGCAGTAATGTTTACACTTACATGTATTGTAAATTATAAAAGCTCTTCATTGCTTCAGAGACTAGTGAGTTTTTATATTTTGGATTTTTTGTGTGTGTGAATTGAATGGAGGAAGCAATAATACATAAAATATATTTTTGATCCTGTATTATCCTACACACATAAACAACATAAATACCTAAACATATTTTAGAACAGTAATGTAATGTTTATATTGGGTTAAAACATTTGCAGCTAGTAAGAGCTGAACTCTGCAAGATACTGTGTAGTTTTTAATAATGCTTTTACCTTATTATTACATAACTTAAGTCCTTCAGTGGGAGAACTGATAGGGTTCACAGAGTATTCTTAAGGTCAATCTGATAGGGTAAGACTCTTCTGAAAGAGTCTGCTTGAACTCTTTTAGTTTTTGGGATGCAAGTTCACGCATCAAGTTGTCTTCAGTTATATTTCTGTAAGCGCAAGGGAAAAGTGTCTGTTGGTCTTCAGCATTATATTTAGATACAACTTCTGGAGCTGGTTTTGGTATCAGTGTTATAAATCCTACATACAGTGCTTCTTATGTTTTATCTTGACAGCTGCCAAATGGCCAGGTAGGTACAACTTCAGGAGAAAAGTAATTTTCAGCATCCCAGTTTGTATACTCACATGTAGAAGCTTTATCTATGAATACCCTTTGCATTAATTGAATGTGAGAACAGAGAGAAGCCAGTGCAGATTCTGGAGTGGAACGACTCAGCAGAGGGTAGCACAGCTAAATAAGTATGTCATTTGTTGCTGCAGCTAGGAATGTATTTGTGTTTTGCCCTGGCTAGAGAGCATTGAGTAATCCAGCATGACAAGTGACAAAGGACAACTGCAGTTGGAGCTAACATCAAAATATAGACCACTTCTTTTTTTAATAAAAGAGCATGTCTGTTAACTGTTCTTGAAGTAATGTGAGGAGGACTCTCTTCTGTGTGTAGAAGGGGGAAAAATATTTGTAAAACTGCTTTTTTTGGAGATCCGCAAACAGAATTCGTCCTTTTTCTGAAGCCAGCACATACTAAAAGCCTGTGTGAATATATCAGATACAGAGGTGGACTCCTGCAGTTCAATGAGCTCTGTATTTGCTATATAGTGGCTGGCTTGTTATATGTACTCTTATGTAGTCTTTCCAATATGTATTTCTAAGATGCCTGTCATTGTAATATATAAATAACATATAACTTTACAAGTCACAGTAAGGATACTTTCGGCCTCTTAAACTATTCACTTTTTTACAGCATTTTTTTTTTTAAATTTACAATCTGAGTGGGCTGGCTTGTCCTTTCAAAAATGGAATTGAGTGACTCTATACCTTAAGGCTGATGTGCATTTGGAGTGAAGGTGTGGCCTGTTTGCTTAGTGTAAGAACAGTAAGTTGTCCTGGAAGAACTGCTTCTGAAGTATGAATGGATACTCCTTTTGTTCCTCAGCCCTTAAAATGGATGTAGATGTATGAGGAAAAACGGAAAGATAAATGAAGTAAGGATTTGGGGAATAGTTAGAAAACAAAAGCATAGTGTATGGAGAGAAGCACAAGTTTTGCTATCCATGTTACACTTTCCTTTGTTTGAAACATATCTATGGTTCTGTAAGTCTTGAGGAAGGTTGGAGATAAAAATTAGAGGGCATTTCTCCTAGATCACCGAGTTCATTTTGTTATTGGAGATAAACATGTCATGTATGATTTTTCTTCATAAACTTTTTAAGCTCCATTTAGTTTCTATGTACTACTCAGGTTGAAATGTTGTTTCAAAACCTCTGTCCTTGACATTTAATTTTTTTTAATGTGCAGTCTGTAGGGTTTGTAATGACTATCCCAAGCTGATCTATAAATTGCCAGCTTGAATCAGAAATTTACTAATCACTAAGTGCATCAGATTCTGCTTTAGAGGTAGTATGAATAGCACATTATCTTTGAGTACGTGCTTTCCTGTGCTTAGAAAATAGTAACTTTTGACAAGATATAATTGTGACTTTACCTTTGATAAAAGTGTTGAATTTCTCTTTTTTCATATTTGTCTCCATGTCTAGTAGTTTGCATGTATCTACTTCTACAACTTTGCATGCTGAAGGTTAGAATAATAAGTGTCTAGTGGATGAGGTTAGTGGGCCCCTCTTATATTAAACAGGTGCTGCACTTGATATTTTTATGTCTAAAGGTTGTTGCTGACTTTGGTAGATTTGCTAGCAGTATTTATTATGTGCTGAGCATCTCAATTCTGGCGTATAGATTGTTGGCTCTACTCTGATTTGAGAGATTAGATTTCAGTTAGATTCCAGCTCGATGATGACAATGTCTCTTGCCAGTTTCTAAAAAGGAACAGCAAAATACTCAATTTGAGGGTATTGTCCTTGCTGCACAGAGGCTATGTCATCTTATTTTTCTGTAGTTGGGCTGAGAAAACACTAAGTGATTTGTAGCACTTGCAGAAGAGCCCTTCAAAGCCCTGTACTGGTACTGACCAGTTTTTGTACTGGCCATGGGATGTAACTAAGCAATGACCCATGCTACAAAAAGGGAAAGTTAAGTACAGTAGCTTGTCCAATGCTATGTATACTGATGTTGTCTTGAAAAGTAATTTTGGTTGCTGCTGTTTTAGAGACATACGTGTGAATTTTTCTATTTGACTGAATTTTGAGTTGGAATAAGTATGTTAACATTTTGATGTTTGTTGACAGGCTTATAATTGTGCTTAGAATATGGCCAGAGATTAGATGTGAAAATAATAAGTATACTAGTTAGTAGGGTTGGTGGATCTTGAGTTTTGATTCAACATAATCTCTAGTAAATTATCTTTTTTTTTTTTTGCAAGTAAAAGGAGGAATTTGCTCTCTAGAGGTCTGATACAGGCACCATCATTATTAATTGAAAATATGTAGCGCATCTTCCGTGTTCCTAGTAGTTGAGTTTGAGTTGTATCACTTACACATTCAGAACTGGCAGTTTTAGAAAACTTAAGGAAGCACAATTTTATAACCTCCGAAATAGTCCTCTGCTTATGTGGAGATGATAGTCACATTATGAGCCATCCACATTTTTCTGTGGTGGTTTTTTTACCAGTTCTACAGAAGGAACCAAGCTAATATCTCCCCCATATAATAACATGTTAACGTTTAGTTACCAGGTGTACAAGTAATAGATGTTTAGTTTGGGCACTTCAAAAGTAGCCTTTCTTCATGGTTTTGAAAACTTTTTTCTAAAAGCCCAAGAGCAATAGCTGCAAATAGTTGTATGGGGAAAAAAAAAGCTGTATACGGAAGTCAAACTTATGTTACAGAACATTTACCTTGCATTTCATTACTCTTTCTGCAGCTTATTAATGTGCTTAATTGTTTTAAGGGGGTGGGAATGATGAGGATAACATGGGACATGTGGTCTTTTGTGGGGATCACTTTTAAAATTAGAAACTAATGGCTTACATTTTGGGCTTTTCTTTTTCATAGAATATAGATAGAAAATTCTGTAACTTGCATAGTTACTGCAACTAGAAAACCATGCATTGCAATACAGCATGAAAATAGGCAGTGATCAATATCTGCATTCATTTGGAAAGACAGCAATTTTTAGTGAGTGTTCCATTGACTCAAGATGAAGAAGAGAAATTGCATTCGAGCTCCAATTTACTATGGCTGGAGGGTTGGTGGTGATTTTGGTGAAGTCTTGATGTTTTTGGTATTGACTACCTAGGGGGTGAGTAGGGAGGTGGATGTTTTTTAGTTATTTTCTTCATCTTTTTTTATGGAATGACACATTTGATTTTGTTTATGCTGCTGCCTGTCTGTGTAGCTGAAAGTCCAACCGTGAACCACTGTAACTGGTAGATGGTGCAATAAGATAGTTCTCATGAGAGTTCTTTGGGGAGCTCTTACATTAGCACTATGTCCCAGCAGGACCTCTATAAGAAGGTTTTGTCCAGAAAACTGAAGAGAAAGAATTGGAAAGAACATAAAAAAACACACGAGCAAAGCTTTAGCACTTGGATTAAATTCCTTTTTTACAGTAAGACTGGGGCTGGTGAGGAAGTTCAGCTTAAACTTTCTTTGAGACCCTTCAGCAAGGTAACAGAATAGTCTTTCTTTAAACTTTGAAAATGCTATGAAGCATTTCTATTTTTTTATCAGTTCTGAGCTGATGATGTACTCTGAAGAATGCCCGTTCGTTTTGCTTCAAGGTTCATCACGATTAGTGTACATTTCCATCTGTTTTGGATGTTTTGCAGAAACTTGTGAGTGTTCTCTCTAATTGAGTGTGTTGGTAATTAGGTGCATGTTCCTTCTAGAGCTTCTCCATTTGAACTTAACAGGAAAGTCAGTCTGTTTGTAAGCACTTAGATATTTGTTGATCAACTACTTGTTGCTACTTAGGGGTAATGGCAGAAGCCTAGTTTTGAATGCTGAGGGATTTTCTTCAGCGTATTTTGGGTGTTAGCAATTCCCACAAAAAACTTGCTGAAGGCCATGTTCTTTAATCTACTAAAACTAAAATATATGCACAACTTACAGTTGTGTTTTAATACCTAAACACCTACATTTTAATGCTTCTCTTTTTTGTTTATGCACACAAGTAACTAGAAGTATTGTAAAATTATGCAGAAGTGTAGGTGTTTGGAGCGTTTTCGTTACTATGGGCTGAAGAGGACTTTCAAGTAATTCTGGAAGATTTCACGCAAGCAGTGAACGTGAAAGTGGGCAAACTGACCTACATTTGCTTTGTCTGCATTTGCATCAAGCAAGCGTGAGCAGTCTGTACTTTCACGTAGGCATATCCTGACATTCATCTTGGACCATCGTTTGAGCCTCAGGAGAGGTACTGCTCCTGCATGGCAGAGGTTGTGCTGATGAAAGGTAGAGGGCTAGAAACACTGGTATTTTTCCTCAACAACAAAGTCTAGGAAGCCTCCAACTACCTTTTCACACCAGAATTTAGATAGTCTATCACTCTGTTTTGTTTTGTAGGGTTTCTTTTTCTGAATATTGTAAGAAATCTTAGTGCTTATGTATTTTAATCTCTTCAAGATTGCACTTGTAGATAGCTTCCCCACAAACTTCAATCTGAAAGAGTTGTTTATAACCAGTAGTTGCGTTTGCTTCTTGATGTCTTTCTGGTTTCAAGTAAGAGATTGAGGCTTTGCTTTGATGTTAGGGCCTTTGTCAAGGTAAGTAGTAATAAACTACTAATAGATTGATTCCCTGGTTTTGAGAGTCTGTCTCTGGCATTAGAGATACTCCTTGTTTCCTTTTGCATTCTCTCATGAGGTGAGATTTAGGCTATGTGAAGGAGTAGAGTGGTGAACATATATGAGGCTTATTCCAGTTTCTGGCTGGCATTTCAATTTCTAGATCTAAAGACAGTTTTAAATGTTGAAGGGGAAAGAAAAAACATTTCCCATCTCTGTCAGGCTTTGCTGGTGTGCCTTCACATTGTAAGCGTGTTGGTCCTGTTGTCTTCCATAATCATCCAAGAAAACTTGAAATGCGTATAGGTGGAACAAAAATTGTTTATCTTTGTTTAATTCAAAAAATGATAGCTCCAGTTTAGGAATGTGTGAAATAGTGATACTGTTTCAGATTTGGAAAGTTGCTTTTAAGGATAAAGTATAGCACCCATGATTCTTTGTTATTTTAACTTCCTGTTTAATTTTTTGTAACCTTTAAGGCTTTCAATATTTTACCTTTTTTTCTGTGCTGTGGTTCTTTCCCCCTCACCTCCCTCCCCCAGTATATTTTCTGGAATATATGTTAAATCTTTTCAGTCAGGCAAGGTATACAGCAAATGTCATATGAGCAGATCTCCTGTGTTTGTATTATATATTCTTTAATTGCAATAAGAAAATAGACCTGTTGTTCTTCAGAAGAGTTGGGCTTACTGTGGATGTTTTATAAGCACTATACCTAAGTAAACCTTTTTGGTCCATCATCACCCCTGGTAAAAACAGTAGAAAGAAGTTGGATATTGCCCCAAGAATAATATATATAATTTGCATGTGACCATCCTCTTTTTGCCAAGCAAAGATAAGTTGAACTTGTCAAAATAAAGCGGGGCAAAGGAAGAGTGTAAATAAAAACATAAAATCACCATAACTCTTGTGCTATACAGTGCTTTACAATGGTAGGTTAGTATTCAGGGTTTTTGGAAAATTTGGTGTGTAAAACAAGCTCAAAATCTGTGCAAATCATGTCCAATAGTAACAGTTCAAAAGATTTAAAAAAATGTTTTATCTGACAGCAGTGTCTTAATTACTATACAAGGAAGAGAAATTATTAACAGAAGGCTAACAAAATCTGAATAGTACATGTTTATGGAACAAGCAACTACTTTGTTTACAAGGTCTAAGGAGCATTCGTTTCCAAATTGCTTTTCATATACGTGAAAACTCACACCACTACCACCCCTTAGGTAAGTGCTGGTACAGGCTTTTGTCCCTTGGGACAGGGAATAGGAGGAGGTGGTGGGGGAACAGATATTGAGGAATAGTAGCTTCTGATGTTATCTTCTGGTCACTTTGAAATTTCAGAGTGACCTGACATTTTTCAGAGCTGGTGAAAACTAAAGGCATTTGGAGTGTTTGAAAGCAATCCAGTTTTATGTGAAGAAACTGGAACTTGGGATCAAATCTGATAGAGGATTTGTGGATTTGGCAATATCTATCGGGTTTTTGTTTGTTTTAGAAGTGTAATGCAGAATGCTGTGTTAGACCAGAGTGTACAGGAAGAGGGAAGCCTCTTGGAAGAGAATCACACAGTGACCCGAGGGCTGTCTAGAACTAGATTATTTAAAATGTTCAAGATGGGGATGTGTTTTGGAATTGCCTCAGTATCAGTCTCAGGAATTTAAATTGGCTTAGATAGTAGGAAGGGTCCTGGAAAGGTAAATTCTTACAGTCTTCTCCCCACCCACCCCAACTGAGAATTCATCAGAAATTATGCGAGGGTAGACCTTCGTAAACACAGAATGGGTGTGTAGAATGTTTTTGAAACCCAGGAAAATAGTGCATTTTTAATTTAGGTACTTCATGGATTAAGCAGAAGATGAACAGAAGCTTTTTTGGGGAGAAGGAATAATGGTTTGTAGACTTGGGGATTTCAGTTGTGCCTAATTCAGGCTTAAATTCTGTGTCTGAGTATTCTGCTGAAAAATGGTAATTGCTGCTGTTAATCACTGAATTGCCATCTGGATTTTGGATAACAGTACATTAGCTTAACCCTCCATACACAAATGCAATTGCTGTCAAGATTGCCTGAATTAAACTAAGTAAAATAATCTTCTAATGACACTTAGTCACCTAGGTTTTCTGGATTGTTTCTCTTGGTCAGAATTTTAATATCTTTTAAATGTATTCATAGGTAAAAACATCAGAGTTTTATCGATACTCCCGGCAGCTGCGACATGAGGTTGACCAAGCCATGAATTACTTTCATAGCGTTCACCAGCAGCCTTTGATGGAAATGAAATCGAACAAAATTCGTTCTGCCAAACCCCAGACTGCAGTATTTAGAGGAATGATAGGACACAGTATGGTAAACAGTAAAATTCTTCTCTTGCACAAACCAAGGGTCTGGTGGGAACTAGAGGGTCCTCAAGTACCGTTACGACCAGACTGCCTTGCCATCGTGAATAACTTTGTGTTCCTATTAGGTGGGGAAGAACTGGGGCCAGATGGTGAGTTTCATGCTTCATCCAAAGTTTTTAGATATGACCCAAGACAGAACACTTGGTTACGAATGGCAGACATGTCTGTTCCACGTTCTGAGTTTGCTGTTGGAGTTATTGGGAGGTATGTTTATGCAGTGGCTGGCAGAACCAGGGATGAAACGTTTTACTCAACTGAACGGTATGATATTACTGAAGATAAATGGGAATTTGTGGATCCCTATCCAGTCAATAAATATGGACATGAAGGGACCGTGCTTGGTAACAAGTTGTATATCACTGGTGGAATTACATCATCTTCAACTTCTAAGCAAGTGTGTGTGTTTGATCCCAGTAAAGAAGGGACAGTAGAGCAGCGAACAAGGAGAACTCAAGTGGTCACTAACTGTTGGGAGAACAAATGCAAAATGAATTATGCAAGATGCTTTCACAAAATGATTTCTTATAATGGTAAGCTTTATGTCTTTGGTGGTGTCTGTGTGATCCTGAGGGCCTCCTTTGAATCTCAAGGATGTCCTTCTACAGAGGTTTATGACCCAGATACTGATCAATGGACTATATTGGCTTCTATGCCAATTGGTAGGAGTGGTCATGGTGTAGCTGTTCTGGACAAACAGATAATGGTTCTTGGAGGCCTTTGTTACAATGGTCATTACAGTGATTCGATTCTCACCTTTGATCCAGAGGAAAACAAATGGAAAGAAGATGAATATCCAAGGATGCCGTGCAAGCTGGATGGCTTACAAGTCTGCAGCTTGCACTTTCCTGAATATGTTTTGGAGCATGTTAGACGTTGCAGCTAAACCAGAATGAAAAACTTAGTGAAATAGAAAAAAACTATACTTAATTTGTCAAAAAATACAAACCAGTTGAATTCCTTCAGAGACATTACCTTGTGTGTAAGAACAACTGCTAAATGCTTAAGAGAAACAGGATGTACAGGGAAAGTACTTACCAAGGTTATTAGAAAGCCAGTAGTTGGTCTGATATTGTAAAAGCTTTGGGTGTTTTTTAACAAACATAATTGTAAGTAGAGGAAAGAAAAATATATTTTTGAGTGTGGCTATTTTTTTTGTAACATTTTATGTCCATAATACTTTCTGCTCTTTCTCCTTTCTGGGGAATGGACGTCATTCTGGATATCTGGTCTTTCATGATTCAAGTGTAGTAAAAAGACATGGCCAAGACTTTATTAAAAATAATGGTAAGGATATGGATGTCTCAAGGAAATGTTTTTGAGCCTGCATTTAAGTACCTTCTGAAGTTCTGTGTGCTGAGCAACTGCCACTAAAGTCATTGGTGAGTATTGACACTTGAAATGTGAAGACCCAGATCATTTTTAGGTGCTCTGCTTTTAAGTTCATATTTGTCTTTAAAAGATCTTGTTCGGGACTGTAATAGTAATTATTCTGTGAAATTCTAACTTGAACTGTTGGTTTCAGCTTCCCTGAAGTTGTGTCTCCATGGAGAAGCTGGCTGTAACCTTTCGAGCATTAGAAATGATTGGAATTTGCTTGGGTTTAGAACGTGTGGGGGCATGTGAGAATGTTTTGTTAATTTACATTTCCACCATGCTTTTATTGTTTCAAACATGAAATACAACATAAGCTTACATTCTCTTTTCCATTTCCTGTGGAGCTTTTGAGGCAGTTATTTTTGTTACTTCATATATCAGAGGGATATTTTTTTAATTGAAAGTTTGTTTGTGTTTGCTTTTAGTATTTAGCTCCAGATAATTTAGTCTTTAAATAAAAAGATGACTAAACTGGCTAATAATAATTTCCTGTTACTATCAAATTTTGAGCATTATGATCAGATTAATATAAGATGAGATTTAAAAACATTTAAATGCCTCTCGTTTGTTAAGGAAGAGGTAAGTTGCAGTCTTTGAGTAGTAAGCTGAGGGGGCTTTCTTCTTCTTTTCCCACCCCAACTGTAACGAAATACCAGCAAATCTGATCTCACCCACATGTTTAAAATGTAACACAACTTGCTTTTAAACAATAGGTGTATTTGCCTTTTCTTAAAAAGGTGGACATAGTGAGTTGCAGTCTAGGGGTTTTTTTTACATTCATTGCAAAAATATATCAGCTTCATGTCTTATTTTAGCAACTAGCTCCAGGAGGAACTTTTGTTTTCGAATGAGCCAGAATGGACAAAAAGTAAGTGCTCCTGTAAAGCGGTTGGATGCTGCCAGTTCCCATTCCGAATGCTGCTATATCTGTTTTTAGAGGACAGGTGTTTTTTCTCAAAGTATGCATAAGGAAAAAATAGCTCTTTTTTCCCCACAAAGTGTTGGTAATAGTGGATGGTATTAGGTGGCAGAAAAACTTTTTGAAATAATTTTCCCCATTGATTCAGCAGGAGGAAGGCAGTACTTGATTTTACAAAGGCTCTGCTATTTCAGAAAGCACTGCTACCGAGAGGGGCTAGTGGCAGCATATGAGCTACCTGGCAACCTGCTTTTATGTTACTTTCTTTTGAAAGGCGTAGATGCCCTACTTTCTGCAGTATGATAGCAGTCCTGTTATAACTAGCTCTAAGGGTTTGTGACTTCAATATTTCTCTGGTTTCTGAGATTTGCAACCATTTTTTCTTGAGGACCTCCTGCCTTACAAATTCAAGTGCTGTGTTTTTTCATGCTGATAATATAATAACTACTTGCATCAGGGACAAAGCTTCACTGGACACTCAGGAAGCAAAGGGTGAAATTCAGCAGGTACAAATTCAGATCCGTTTAAAAACAAAAACATTGCTTAACTCATTATGTCCATTCTTTTGCAAAAGGAGGATAAGCATTATGGGGAGATGCTTACTCTTTACAGGCTTGTGTCAACATTTATATGACGAAGTCTTTTTAGAAATAGTTGCATTTGTAGAGGTATTTTGCTTTTTTAATATATTTTTCCTTAAAAAAAAAAAAAAGTAGTGAATTGGGCCCCCAGTTCTTTTGATACTTCAAATGTATACTTCACATATGTGAACAGTCCAATATAAAGAAAACAGAAAACTGTAAGGTACTTGAAAACACAAATGGTATTAAACCTGTGCTTAAGTGTTTATAGGCTTGGGAGCATCAAAGAAAACATCTGTCCTGCTCTCCTTCCATTAATAAAAATATACTTGGTGAGATTACTTGAATAAGTGTGGCCCATCGCTTGTGGCAGGGCTCACTGAAGGAGAGTGGGAAAGAACATAACTGGAAAGTACGTGTAATCTATTTAAAGCAAAGCTTGCCATTGTCCTGTAGCTAACATTTTGAGATTTTAATGTTTGTAAAACAATCTGAAGCTGCTTAAAATAAATACTAATGACTACTTTTGCATCTGTATAATATTTTTGGAAGTTGGTGAGTAACTTTAAAATTTCCATTTGTGTGAGTAAACATCATAAAACATAGTTGTATGTGGCAGAAAAACTGACTTGTTTTGAGCACAGCTTTCCTGGATTTCCCTCTGGTTTTTTTTTTTTCACTTCCTAAATTTCAATTAATTTTTATATAGTCTTTTAAAAATCACTTTCAAAGATCAATTTAAAATACTTTTGGATTAATATTAAATTGGTAGCTAGAGGGAAACCACTTCTTTTTGCAGATGGTAGTATTTATTTATGGCTCTGGTAGAAAACCTTATTTTAAGTCTAGACAGTGTTATGGAGTTAGCTATACTTAGGGGGCTTTTATTACCTCAGTGGGACCCACCTAACTTTTGTGTCACTTCTGGGAGCAGGTGAAGCAAAGAGTGAGCTATGGTTTTATTTTAAATATTTTTGCCTATATATTGTTATTTTTATAAGTCTTTTAGAAGTAAATTATTATATGCTGGAGTTTGCAATTCCACTATAGTATCCCACTTGATTCCAGTGTACAGTATCAGATTGCTTGTATTGAAAAGAATGTATTTGATACGTATTTGATAAGTTAACAGGAAAAGTTATTTTCAAGCTGTGCTGTGTTTGTGCTAGCAATTGGAAATACTTTTCCTATAGAAAATTAAAATTATGTATATGACCTCATATGTACATTTGGATTAACTGTCTAATGACTACCCCAGGGCTGCTATAAACTTCTCTGAATAATTTAAGAGTTGCCTCTTTTTAACTGTTTTAAAGCTGTTTTTCTTGTCTTTTTTTTTTGACACAAGTTAATTTTCCCTAGCAATGGATACAGTATGCTCAGACTTGCATATGCGCTCTGTTTGGTTTTTAAACTGAAAAAATGTACAAAATGTATATAAAGAAAAGTGTAAATAAAATATTTTTAATCTTTAAACACTCTTGTGTAAACTTCGTAATACTTAAAAGTGTAGTGGTCCTGGATTACTTTCTACAGGACTTCAGAGTTTACTTGGTGAAGCAACTCTTTGGAAATGTTAAGTGTTGCTGCAGTTCATAATGTTGTGTTAAAGTTATCCCAATGAGAAAAGTTGGATGTCCATATATAGTGTCAAGCTCATAACTTTAGCTGTAGTTTATAATGTTCTCAATTTTAATTGATTTAGTGCTTTCATGTGTCTACTCTGCATTTCAAGCTTGGAATAATGTTCTGAGTTGACTTCATTGTTACATGTGTAACTTGGTTTCAAGCCATAAATTTGGTGTTAGTCAGTGCTCAGAAGAGGATGTTCGCACTATCAAATACCTGGCATTGAGGGGTCTGTAACACCCTGCGCATTTACCACACACTTGGACCTTGAAGTGCCAGAAATCTAAGTCATACTGCTTTATGTTTCCTATAGTAGGAAGGGGAAACTTAATTTCAGGATTGAAGTGTCAGATTAGAACAATATTCAGTACCTGGGGAGGGTGGGGGTGAAACAAGTGAAAAAGGAGGTTATGATCTTATTTTCTAAAGCAAGCTGATGAAAGCCTTCCTTTTCAGTCAGTCCCTTGCCAGACTTTCCTTTTCTCTGCCACTATTTTTTGGCAGCTCTCTTGCTGTCAGACCAAAGCCCCTGGTTTAACAATCTACTGTCAAGAATGTTTGAAAATAACTGTGGTCTCCTCTTTTTTTTGTTTGTTTTTAATATTGAGTTCTAAACCAGCATTTTATTTTAATACTTAGAATGACTTTAAACTATATTTGCATGGAGTTCCCTCACCCCCCACCCCC